AAAATAAAAGCTCTGATTTTTTTCTCTTCTATTTGAACAACCTCTCTAAACTGAAAACTCGGCAACACTGAAGAAAATCCCCCAGTCCCCTTGATTTCGGTTTATGCGGACTCCACTGTATACGTTATCATATCTTTTTTTTAAACCACACACAGGTGCTGACACAAAGACATGAAATAACGACGGATTAAATAGTCGCACAACTACCCACCAGTTCTCGGAGCGTGTCCACGGCGTGGGTGATGGCCTCCATGGACGGGTGCTGCATGGCCTTGCCGATGAATGGGACGATACGGCCCAGCTTGAGCAGCTGCGAGATGACATAGCGAGGGTTTTCGTTTAGTTTCAGAAAGAGTTTTATGGCACTCGCAATACAATTAGGTCAGTTTAAGCTTCTACCACCTTAATCATCTTGTTATAAGTATTCATATGACCTTTAAAGCATGCATCAGAATATCATTAAGTTTTAGTAAGAGTTTTACGGCATTTGCATATAAGTGCTGAAGATTAGAAGGATTACAAGGGAGTAACGAACACATAAAAAGAAGGAGGGGAGATAAAGACCATAGATATTTGATAGGAAAGAAGGCAAACCACACCAGAGCACCCTCCAACCACCCACAGTAAGAGTTTTATGATGGCACTCGCAACACAAATACATTATATAAAAACCAAAGATTAGAGTTAGTTAAGTAAGAGTTTTACGGCACTCGCAACTTCATAGGGTCATGTGAGCGTGCAAAACAAAAGTTGGTTGCATTCACGACAGTTCTTAGCACGACTAAAGATGAGAGGTGATACAACAAAGTAACAAACAAAAACGGAGGAGAGGTAAGGACGATAGATGTTTGACAGGAAAGAAAGAGTGAACCACACCAGAGCATCCACCAACCACCCACACACACACAGGGACGGGGTAGATGGGGAGTCGGCGCGTGATGTGATCAGAGTTGAGCTCAGGACAAAACAAGTAGGGACTACAGGACTCACTTGCATGCACAAACAGGCACATACACACACACACAAACACAAAAAAAAAACCCAAACACACATGAAGGCAAACATATGCATGTACACACAGAAGTGTATAAAAACTCATGAAAACACTGATGAGTTGAAGCCAAAGGCAAATCAGCACAGACACAGCCACATTTTGTCAGAAACAGGATTAAAACTTCAGCAGCTCTGTGGTGTGAAAAAGAAACCTTGAACATCTGCCTCAGTGAGCACCTCATGACTACAGAGGAACAGACTGAACAGATAAAGGAAAGACAGAATGAATTAAAGCAATTCTGAATTTATGAAAGAAAATAAGTATGAATAAATAAAGGAACACAGCAGTTAAATGAATAGATGAAAGAGGAAAGGACGGAAAGAAGGTATGAATGAAAGGAAAGAAGGCATGGCTGAATGAAAGAAAAAAAGAATGAAAGAAAGCAGTACTGAAGGCAGGCATGAACGAAGGAGTGAGTAAAAGAACAAATGAGGGCTGAAATAAAGGTAGGCATGAATGAAAGAGAGTGTGAAAGAAGGAAAGAGGGCTGAGCTAAAGGAAAGCACGGATAAACTAGTAATAGAAAGAGTGAAGGAACACCAGAAGCCCCTCTTTTTTATTTCCTTGGGGTGGTACAAACCTTGATCTGAAGACAGAGTTCTTCGAGTCGTGTGCGCAACATCTCTGGCGGGAGGTAATCTCGACACAGCTGATAGCGGAACTCTGTGTACAGGTGGAAGCAGTGGCCCGGCTGTACTCTGTAAAATAAAAAAAATGGTGAAATGGTATAGGTTTAATGCCCTTTTCAACACCAATAGGTTATGCAAGAGGAATGGCTTTTAGGTTTATCCTTCATTTCCAAAAGGACTGAGCCAAATAGGAAAATCATGTCAAGTGCCTTTCCCAAAGGCAATGTTACCATTACAGGTCTGGTAGCCTTACCACTAGACTACGCACATCACCTGTACTCTCTGGGGGACACATAGACATGAGCACAGTTAACTTGATATAAGTTTTAGTAAAAGTTTCTCCCACTTGCAATATAATCCGATCATATAAGTGCCGAAGATGAAAGTTGTTACTAGAGTGTAACAAACAAAGAAAAGAAGGAGGAGAGATAAGGATGATAAATATTTTTTACTTATTAAATTTTACAACACTTGCAACACAATCAGGTCATATTAAAGCCGAAGATTAGAGGTGTGACTGGAGAGTAACACACAAAGAAAGGAAGGAGAAGAGACAAGGATGATAAATATTTGACAGGAAAGGAGCAAACCATACAAGAGCATCTGACAACCACCTGCTATTAGAAGTGTTACTAGAGAGTCAGAGCTGGGTGTTTTTTTCTTGGCAACAAGTTTGTTTACACTTGGAAAAATGTTCTGTGTTATGGAAATATTTAGGATGGACAATCTAAAATGCTCTTGCTGGCTGGATATAATAGTTCGTTGGGCTGGATGTGACCAAATGGCCTGGAGTTTGACATCTGTGCTGTTGACCAATTGTACCACAATTATCGTAACCGTGTCTTTTGATGCTTGCGGGTGTTTTTTTTTGGGCCACTGTTGTTAAAGGCGGACAATTACTACAAGAGGGAAAGCAAAACAAACAGACAGAAAGAGGGATAGTAATGAAGTAGCAATAGCAGAGCACATTCGGAAACTCATCAACATATCTCATATTACTGTAGTCATTTGTCTATAAAAAATCTTCTAAGAATAGGAGTGTGAGGTTTTTTTTCTCCCCATGTTATGGAAATACAGTAGAGCAGCTTAAACCGACATAGTTAATCTGAAAACATCAATAAACTTAAAAAAGAAAATCCCCAATTATTCTTTTTTATCGAGAAGCCTCTCTAAACCACAAACCCGGCTAAATCAAAGAAAATTTGGCAGTCTCAGTTAGGTGGACTTCACTGTATATGGTGAAAACATTCTCTTAAATAGAAATACCTTGTACTTCTAGTCTAAGTGGTATCATATGTGTGCATTTGGGGAGAGGGAACAAAAGACTCACCTGCCAGCCCGACCCCGCCTCTGTTTAGCGTTGGCCTTGGACACCCACTGTGGTTCCAAGGACGTGAGGTTCATGTCTGGGTTGAAGTCTTTCACTTTGATCTTGCCGCAGTCGATGACAAACACCACGTCATCGATGGTAATGCTGGGGAAGAGAGGCACATGATAGTGATTACTTTGTTCAGTGGAAAAAAGCAAGAGAGAAACAAATATCAGAGTGGGTGAAGAAGTGAGACACACTAGAGGCACCCTCCAACAGTCCGAGGAGTGAAATGAAAAAAAGAAAAAGAGGACATCTCTCCCAAGGACACTACATCTCTGACCTTATGGTTGTGAATATAATGCCTGAACCACAACAGAAGGACACGCGAAATATAAAGGAACAAAAACAACTATTAAAGGACACAAATAAGATAAATATAAAAGAACAATAATTAGATTAACTGCAATGGAACAAAAATGGGATGAAATATGAAGTAACAAAAATTACATAAATACAAAGGAACAAAAAATTAGATAAACTATAAAGAAAAAGACATCAAATGAGGTATTACTTAAAAAAGCCCACGTGGGCCGCTTGCTGATAAAAACATTCTGGAAAAGACAATTTCAGTTTCTGGGACACTCGAGAGCCTAAACAGATTGGTGACTGGGAAAGATCAGAACAATGTATCTTTTTTGAGAACATCTGAGCAAAGGATTGAATGGGTTTAAAAAAAAGTTTTAGTAGAGGTTTTACGGCGCTCGCAACTGCATAAGGTCATATGAGTGCCAGAAGATTAGAGGTGTTAGAAGAGAGTAACAAACATAAAAAAGAAGAAGGGGAGATAAGGACGATAGATGTTTGATAGGAAAGAAGGAGCAAACCACACCAGAGCACCCGCCAACCATGGAAAACCATGATTGCTGGTACTTGATGATAATAAAGGAACTAAAATGAGATATAAAATATAATGGAACAAATACTTAATCCACTCCTTAGCCAAATAAAAACTGATTTCTCAGTCAACACAGTACCTGGTCTCTGCTATGTTGGTAGCTATGACGATCTTCCTCACTCCTGGTGGAGGGCGGTCAAAAATTTCTCTCTGGTTGACGGTGGGCATGAGGGAGTGCAGTGGGATCACACGCAGCGAGCCTGGAAGAGTTAAATTCTTGTTTGAGCAGAGGGAAGCTCAATAATACAATAACTGTCACGTCGTTTAGTGTTGGGAAATAACAATGCGGCGGAACAGAGGGAAAGAAAAGAAGTGGGACCTACCAGTGGCACCCTCTAACTCATTCACTGCCAGACTTACCCTTATAATCTCACCTAACAGTTTATAATGTTAAGGGCAAATCAGTGAAGGGGTCAACCTAATTAGTTTAGTAAGAGTTTTACGGTACTTACAACACAATAAGGTTATATGAGTGTCGAAGATTAGAGGTGTTACAAGCAAGTAACAAACATAAAAAAAGGAGGGATAAGGACAATAGATATTTGATAGGAAAGATGCAGCAAACCACACCAGAGAACGCTCCAACCACACACAGGGTTAGCTTACCCACGTACCAGATGGGTATCCACACAGAAACAGATAACACGGTTAAGAATTGCAAAAAAAGTAAACTGACCTTGCTACACAAGGAATTAGCAGTGAAAAAGAATACATCTTGGCGCATGCAAACAAAAGCCACTTCAGATTGGATTTAACAACTTTCCTTTGACATCACTCCCCCCCCCCTCCTCCAAAACATACACACACACATTTAAAAAATCTGTACCCATGTACCCATCTTAACCTGTCCATAAATGCAGGGTTTGGTGGTTTGGTGCATCATCATGAGGAGTTTCTTGATTTCCAAACCCTCTCTCCTTACCCCCCACCCTCTTCCTGACCCTCCCTCTCCTTTTCCCTATCTCCTCCATTTGCTTCCCTTCCACTCTTCACCTCCCCCCACCCCATCCTCCCCGTTCACAAATACACAAACAAAACTCTGCCCCCTTCATATTTGATCATTTTGAGAACAGAAAAGCTCATTGACAAGAAAACAGTGTATGCAAAAAGGCAAGTGAAATAGACAATAGAATTGAAGTAAAGAAGCAAGACTTGCAAGTGGCGCCCTCCAGCCACCCACTAACCTGAGCGTGACTGTGCCGTCTTCTGTATCATCTCGTTGAGTTTCTTGATCTCCTCCCAGCCCGGCACAAACACGAGGATAGCTCCATCCTGGGGGAGAAGGAAATTGTAGAGATTCTAGTTCTAGTTCTACACATAGAAGTTTAACCCTATCCGTACACCCTGGGTCATTTTGTACCCCCGGGTTTGTATTCTTCACATTTTAGAATACTTCTAGAACGAAGATCTCTTTGAAACTTATAGTATTTCTCAAAAAATCATTTTGACAGACTGCTAGGCAAAGCGTACAGATCGGATAAACGAGTAAATTGCCTCTTTTGAAAGTGGTGGCACAGAGTTCCCGACGTCGTATGAAAAAGATGTTAAAACATGTCGTATGGAAAGGGTTAAAGTTTTAGTAAGAGTTTTACAGCACTTGCAACACAACAAGGTCATATATAGAGCCAAAGGTTTGAGATAAGGACAATAGATGTTTGGTAGGAAAAAAGGAGCAAACACACCAGAGGACCTGTCAACCATTCACTAGTTCTACACATGGAATCCCAAGGGAAGAAGGACACAAGAGACACAAAGGATGGTAGGAAAATTCGCTAAAAATGTATCAGCAGAGTGTGTAAATAAAATATTGTGATGCAGTGGATCAAGCATCAACCACACCTATGACCTAGAGGGGAAACAAGATTAATTAAAAAAAAAAAAGAGGGAGAACTAAAAGTCTAGGGTTCAAAAAGAAAGGAAACTACGTCAACATTTTATGTTTTTAGTAAGAGTATTATGACACTTGCAAAACATTTGGGTCCTATAAAAGCTGGAGATTAGAGGTGTTACACGAGAGTAGAAACACATTTTAAAAAAGAGATTAAGACGAACGGTGTTTGATAAGAAAGAAAGAGAAAAACACACCAGAGCATCTGCCAATCACCCACACAATAAAAGAAGGTGGAGAGGCAAGGACACTAGATGTTTGATAGGAAATAAGGAGCAAATCACACCAGAGCACCCGTCTAACATTCACAAAAAGTAGGTCAGAGAGCCGGTTGGGACGTATGATGACAAAATTCCAGTCGATGGAAGGGTAGGTCTAACAACACAAACACACATACTACAATCAGCATAACACATGCATAACACAAGTACCCTTGGGGTTACTCACCTCCATCTGCGTGCAGATGTAGTGGATGATATGCTGGATAAGGTCGAGGTCGATACACGAGTAGTCAAACTTGTTGAGCACCTCGATTGTCTTCATATCATACCTTTAATGAGGAGAAGGGGATTGGAGGAGAGAGAATTGTTCATTTAACTGAATAAAGAGAAGCACATCAGATTGATAATGGTCATTTACTGCAGGGAAAAAAGCAAGGGGGATGGGGAGGGGCAGAAAAGAGACACACAAACACATAACAGTAGACTAAAAGACACGCCCAGCTTACCTCCCTATCAGAGTCCTCAGCCACACCATGTAGTTCTCGCGCTCCTCCCGATCCTTCTGCGTATCTCGCTTCCGACCTCTGAAGCCCGTGTTGCCTTCCCTGAGGCGGTACCTGAGGGGAGCAATAGCAAGGCAAGTCACAGGTTTTAAGTCACTTCTGACTTTGTAAAGGCTCAAGCAGATTTTGATTTAAGTAAAATAACTTGGGTACCTAATATTTGAGTAAAGTAATAGTGTTGAAAAGCAGTGCAATAATGGTTATAAAGTTCTGTAAAGATGACAAGAGACCAATAAAAACATCAAAGGGACAGAAAACAAGTAGGAGCTACTAGTGTATATTTCGATCACCCGCTTCCAGTGGAAGATACAAGCATGACCAAAGAGCCCACACCCACCATCTACTTGTCTACAGGAACAAACATGACACAACAAAATGCCCTTGGACAAGGCCAGACTTTACATAAGTACCTTTCCTAAAATGAACTGAATATTTCATTGTTCTCATCATTACAAAGAGGTTGAGAAGTCGACAAATGTTAGAGGAGAATAACTTTATCAGAGAAAACGATAAGAGCAGTTCTGGAGAATGAAACTTCTCTCTTCAATTCCTCCTTGACAGTCAAAAACATGAAATGCAGGAAAACACTTCAGATCAGATTTAACATGATAAGCTGACAAAATAAACCACTTCTCCCATTCCGCGAATGGAGATTTTGGCTGAAAAAATGACACAGGGGTGAAATTTTAATGTGTAGATTCTCAACTCAAGCTATTTACTTCAAGTTAAACATATCTTTTATCATTTCATACTAATGAACTGCACAAACTCAACCTATAGATTTGATACAGCAATTCTCATAGGCCTAGGAGTAACTAAACTTATTTTGTCAGCAAGCCTCACAAATATTCGTAGAAGAGTGAAAAAGTGATACCTCCTCATGACAATAACATTCCCCTACACACATTCCATGATGAAGTAAATGAAACACTCACCCTGTCATTTCTATAATGTTCTCCAGTAAATATTCCTTCACCGGGAATGTGTAGCCTGGGATGTTCAGCATAGGACAGTCGTCTGAAAAAACAGGTTCTTTAACATTAGAAACATATCAGCACAACAACAGTCATTTACTACTGAAAACAAGAAAGACAGCAAGCACAACAGAGAGAAAGAAGAGGAGACGAGCAGGATCTACCAAAGTATCCTCCAACCACCCACTCGGAAAAATCTGCACTACTAGAAACTAAGAAATCTTGAATACACAAAATACAATTAAATTCCAACTTTAACTAATTGAGGTGAAAAAAGGGAAATGCAGAAATTTCACTTTAAAAACAGCAGTTATTACCAATCCACGGAAAATGCAATAAAAAGCCCAGTCCGCAAGTGACTATTCAAATGAACATGCTACAAACACACACATATACACACACTCATACAGAGTGGTCACCCTCTACTCACTAAAATAGTGGGAGAACATTTCTGCGTTGAGCGTAGCACTCATCAAGATGACCTTGAGATCGCGCCGCACGGCCAGCAGGTCCTTGAGGATGATCATGAGAAAGTCGGACTGAAGGTCACGCTCATGGATCTCATCGATGATGACGTGAGTGGCGCGCTGCAGCTTTCTGATGACACATGACACAGATATGACACACGTCAGGAGTGAGTTTCTTGTTAACACATGTCAGGGGTAAACTAATCATGAAACAAGCAAGCAAATCTTGACAGACACATGGCACATGTCAGCAGCACTTCCAGTTGATATGTGACACAAACACGACAAGGGGTGAAAGGTTTAGGGGGGAGAAGGAGTATAAAAGAGAGAGAGAGAGAGTGAGTGTGATAAGAGGGGAGAGTGAGTGTGATAAGAGGGGAGAGTGAGTGTGTCATGGAGGGAAAACAAATACCTCACCACTTTAACTTTAACAGTACTCATTAATCACTCTGCATTTATATAGAGCACACACGTGCTCTACAGTAAGCTAAATGTGTTTTACAATGTTATTACCCCAGAAGACCCTAGAGCACTCAAAGACATTCTCCGCTTCTCTGGAAGCACTCTGTGCACATGGTCATTTTAGAGGCACAAAAACACTAACACACTAACGAGAATCTGAGAAAAGTGCCTTTCCCAAAGACACAACCTCAGGCCCAACTGAGCTTTGAACCCCAAACCCACAATCTCACTATCAGGAGTCCGGTAGCCTAACTAACAACTAGACCGCTTTCCAAGTGAAATACTCACGGGTCACTCTCCAGAAACTTGAGCACAATACCAGTTGTACAGAACAGAATTGAACCTTGGGACCTTGGCCTCTTGCTGAAAAAGACATAAGGCAGAAGGGGTTTTAAGAAAAAACAGGAGACATCGGTTTGCTGTGTACAGAAAAACACAAAGACCCAATTGTGGTCATTAAGTTTTAGTTCTAGTAGGAATTTTACAGCACTTACAATACATATAAGTTATATGAATGCCGCAAATTAGCGGTGTTCGTAGAGAATAACACAAAGAAAATGAAGAGGAAAGATAAGGACAATAGATGTTTGATTGGAAAGAACGAGCAGGTCATTCAGTACAGGGAAAAAGTAAAGCAGAGTGACAGAAACAATAGAGGGAAAAATGTAAAGAAGGAAAAAAATAAAGAAGAAAGAGCACCTGGGGCAACCTTCAACCATCCACAAAGTATTAAACCAGACGTCAGAGAATTAGAAACATATGATAATAACACAGAGCTTCAATCCTCCCCCCTCCCCTCTAAAAAAACAAACAACAAACCCCCCCCCCCCCCAAAAAAAAAAACAAAAAAACAAAACAACAACAAAAAACCCTCATCTCCCGTTGATTAAAAAAAATTAACAGATCCCACCCCCATTCCTCCCATCCCCCATTAAGACAACAAATGACATTTCCCCCCCTCCTCCCTTCCTCCTCATTCCATCCATCCCCCCCCCCTCCCCTATAAGACAAGAAATGACTCACGCCTCCAGCCTGATCTGGTACCCGACACTTGACTGCTGGCTGTCGTTGACACGGTCACAACGCTCTGCAGCCACACGCTCCGCAACCTATGAACAGAGAGACACACACACAGAGACATACGCATGGATGAACATTTGCTTGTTTGATTTTGTGAGCAGTGACAAGCACACTGACATAATAACGGTTATAAATTTCTCCTTGAGAGATGAATAAAGATTGTCATTGTCATAAAGTGCACGGAAAAAGTATATTTGAGAGGAACAACAGACGAAAAGAAGAAAGTAGGATCTACCAATGGCACTCTCCAATCACCTCTTTGTCTGTATGTAAACTCTGCTATTCATCAAAAACAAAAACTGAAATGTAATTCTGCAATGTCAAGTAGGTAGGGGACCTAAGACCACATGACAAGAAAGGGATCGACTATGCAGTGAGGGAATACTGTGTCAAAACTATAACCCAAGTTTGGCATCTTATTATAATGGAGCTAAGCCTTTTTGTGAGGTCAGTATACATTTTTTACAAAAACTATAACCAAAGTTTGACACTATATTCAAAAGTGCTCACAAACACTATGGTCAAACACATACAAAGAAAACCTTGCCCAACCATACTTAGGTACACTTCCCACTAACCTTTCTATCCTATACACCAGCAAATTATTTTTAAGTATACAGAAGCACAAAAGGCAAATTGAAACCATCAGAGAGAAATAAAAAAACCAGCCTCAGATGCTGGGACCAGAAGTGTGAATGTTACACAAAAGACCACAGCATGCTCTGTACATTTTGACGTTCATAAACATGCGTGTGTTTGCCTGAATGTGTGTGCATAAGTGTGTGTGTGTGTGTGTGTGTGTATGTGTGTGTGTGTCTGTGTATGCATGCGTGTGTGCGTGCATGAGCAAGAGACAGATGAGGAGAGGGGGAGGAGACAGAACGAGAGAGGAGACAGACACAGAGAGAGAGAGAGAGAAAAAGAGAGAAAGAGAGAGAGAGCGAGAAAGAGAGAGAGACAGAGGGAGAGGGAGAGGGAGAGAGAGAGGGAGAGACAGCATGTATGACAAAGAAAGGGGAATGAAAGAAGGAGAAACAAAGTAAGAGAAAGAAAAGAGAAAGTGTCTGTGATCATATATTTGCATCTTCCTAAAAATGTGGGCGTATATGAGTGTGAATGGTTCTGTGCATGTGAGCAGTGAGTAAGTGTTTGAGTTCGTTGCTTTATGTCACTCACGGAAATAGCGCTGATTCGACGTGGCTGTGTGCAGATGAGACGACACTGGGAGCCCAAGCCTCGCTCTATGTAGTCATCCAGGATAAACTGGGGAACCTAAAATAAAAAGACAGACAGACATATGGACATGACGAACTCAAAAAAGTTCAGAGAAGACAGTGATAAATAAATACTCATTCACACATTCAGTATGCTGCCCCACACAAACAATGAGATAGACAGTCACAGACAAGAACAAACACAGAGAGACCCACTTTGTGAAATGCACAAACTCAGACATTTTTTTTTTTTATAGTAGAGGGCTTTACGGCGCTCGCAACTGCATAAGGTCATATGAGCGCCAAGGGGAGGTTGTCAACAGAGAAGTCTTTACACGGAATCAGACTTAGACAGCTCACCTCTCTGGCTTCAACAGCACAAGGTCTGTTTCGACTATCAAAGCACTCCAAAATAGCCCGTCACAAGAGAGTGACAAACATACAAAAGAAGTAGAGGAAAATGACAATAGTAAGGATCAGTAAAGAAAAAGCAGGAGTTCCCTGTTGTAGATCAGGCACAGTTATGAGAGTGACATGAGTCAGCCCATTTACAATTCTACTATGCTTGAACGAGAAATGTTCCCCCTTTGGGAATGGCCTAAAGACACTTCAGTCAGTGGCACTGCCCCGGGGAGTAAATTCAGACAAGGCAGCAGTGACCACCTATGCTCACTCAGTACGTCACACACAAACAGAGAGACAGACACACACACATACAAGCACACAAACATACACCACATACAGACAGACAGACTCATTTGATGAAATGCACAAGAAGTAAATAGAAGGCAGGAGTAAGAACCTTTCCTTACTGAACAGACAGAAACAGTAGGGGTAAAAGAAAGAAATAAGACATACAACTGGAATCTTCCAACCACCCACCTTGCAAGGAGCTAGGGGAAATTCTTTTACTTCTGTACTACTGAACAGTCAAACAAAAACAACACAAGAAAATGTAACATATGTGCACAACGCAACATAAGACAGATAACTCTGTGCCTAGCATGTTGCCGTCCACTGACCTGAGTTGTCTTCCCACAGCCTGTCTCGCCACTGACGACCAGGACTTGGTTCTCCTGTACAGCCGACACCAGGGTCTGTAAAGGAAAAGGTTGTAGTTGTTGTTGTCGAGTGTGTGTGTGTGTGTGTGTGTGTGTGTGTGTGTGTGTGCGTGCGTGTGTGTGTGGTAACCTATCCTTCCAAATTGTTTGGAGCCCTGCAGAGCATGCTCTTCGCCAGAGCCACCACCTCTCTTAGCTGGCGGGTGAGGCAGTCCAACCTCTTCGAATACTCTCCAAAGAAAAGCCACCCTTGTTGTTGTTATTATTGTAGCTAATTCAGTAGCCGTTAAGCGTGTGCCCTTCAGCTCAGTGGAAAGATTAAATGGTGAAGTGAAAGTTTAGGTTAAGTAACAGTTTTACGACATGTTTTGAAACACAATTAGGTCACATAAATGCCGAAGATTAGAGGTGTTACAAGAGAGTAGCAAACGCACACAAAAAAAAGAAAACATAAATAGGAGAGAAGGAGCAAACATTACCAGAGAACCTGCCAACCACCCACTGAGTGTGTGCCCTTCAGCCCAGAGAAAAGATTAAAAGGTCAAGTGATAGTCTCATAGTCTGTCAAACCCTTGATGAACAGGGCATCACAATAGAAACCGAGGCTGTTTGAGTAAAGAGAAGCACATCAGATTTATTTGAGGTTTTTAAAAATAGTTTTAGTAAGTGTTTTACGGCACTTGCAATACAATAAGGTCATATAAGTGCCGAAGATTAGAGGTGTTGTTACAAGAGAGTAACAAACACAAAAAAGAAGGGGGAGAGTTTGTTTGAGTAGAGAAAAGCACATTGACACAATAATGGTAATTTAGTGCTGGGAAAAAGACAGACAAAGAGAAACAACAGAGAGAAAGTAAAAATGTAAGATCTACCAGTCGCATCCTCCACCCACCCACAGTAGCATATCAGAGCAAAAATGATTACTTAGAATAGAAAAAGAGCATGACACACAGGCAGGAACAGCAAAGAGAAAGATTAGACGTAGGACCTGCCAGTGGTGCCTTCTAGTAAGAGTTTTGCGGCATCTGGAACACAGTAAGGTCATGTAAGTGACGAAGATTAGAGGTGTTAATGGAGTAACAACCACAAAAAAGGAGAGATAAGGACCATATATGTTTGATACATCAGACGCTGGTCAAAATAATTATATCGAAGAAAGGAACATTTTTCCGCTTGTTTGGCAATTTTTATTAAAATGGGTTGTTTTTTTTGGCTCAACACCTTTTAAAAACACATTTTTGTGTTGATTTTGTTGAAAAAATTTGATGAAACACAAAAGATATTTGCACTTTCTAAGGACTCTTCGCTTTTGGGAGTTACAGAACTTTGATTGCCATTTTCTCACTAGTTTTACCTAAAATAGGTATAGTTTACCAGCGACACATGAATCCATCCCCTGATCTCACCTCTTTCATTTCATAAGAGGGAAGTTTGTGCCTAAACTCTAACATCTTGGTGAACTGCGGGTTGTTTAGCAGCTTGCGGGATGTTTCCTGCATTTCCTTGTCTAAGGTTGGGTTCTCAGACTGGGGCACAGAGCTGGCAAAATCTGTAAAGAGAAACAGCGCACAGTTACTGTTGTTGTGTCAAAACGTCATGACTATCAGAGGCAATTTCTAAAGGAGAGGCAAACATTTATTTATGATACTGCCCTTCCTCTTGGCTCTAGACAAACAAAGAAAAAAGATTTAGAAAAGGGTAATCCGAAACGTAAAATTATGTTATTTGTTTGTTTGAATAAACAGAAGCTCACCACCACAAGAAATGGTCACTTTATGCTCGAAAAAAAATGACACAGACAAACAGGAACAATAGAGGGGGGTATAGATTAGAAGAAAGACATACCAGTAGTACCGTCTAACCACCTGCTCTATTCATCGTACACATGTTTAGTTTTTATCTGAGTTCTCAGGGAGTTCACATCCTAGCAAACACACGTAGGTAATGTCAGAGATGCAATGAGGGTTATTTAGTGCTGAGGAAAAGCGAGACAGGTAGAAAAACAAGCAGAACAGAAAAGTAAAGAAGGAGGACCTATCAGCTGTGCCTTCCAACCACCTACCAAGACAGGCGTCAATTATTTGAGAAAGATGAGACCAACAACACACAAATGACCATATAGTGCGGAAAAAACCAAGACACACAAACAGAAACAAAAGAGGGAAAGAACAGAAGTAGGACCTTCCACTGCCTCTCTCCAACCATCCACACAATCACACAGCACATACCCAAGACAGATGAAAAAGATATCCTGAAATTAAAAAAAATTCCAAACCACGACTACTTTAACTCTCCACACATCTTGAAATCAAGAACAGATGCAAAAGTATCATCCTGAAATAAAAAGAAAAGTCTGAATCACAACTACTTTAAATTCCCACACATCTTGAAATGGAAAAAGTTCTAAAAACCACACCAACGTCAACTCCCCGCTCACCTGCTTCTGGCTCCTCACTGGCGTAGGGATAGTCTCCGTGAGATCTCAGGTACTGCACCACGCCCGCTACACTGGGCACCTCCTCCTCCTCCATGTCCTCTTCCTCCTTCAACGGCAAGTTGCTCGCCCCACCTGGGGGCACCACCTCAACAAAGACTGAGGAACACACAGACAAACACATGTGTCACAACATGGTGGAATCAGGCGCTCGCCTATTTCTGGACATGTTGAGTCATCAGTGTGCTGTGACAAATCCATTCCTCTTCAAAAAAGAAAAAGTGTACGAACCTTTTTATTGCAAGTCAAACACAAGCTTTGACATAACATTTTATTCTAAGTATGCATGTGTATGAGTGTGCGTTTGTGTGAACACATGTGTGAACATATGAAAAAGAATATTGAATAGGTGTGTGTATGTATGTATGTGTGCGTGTGGATGTGTGTGTGTGTGTGTGTCTGTCTGCTAAAGACAACGATCTTGCACTCACAGGAGCCATCCCCTTTCTTCTCCTCCGTCTCTTCCTCGCCAGCTAGAACTTCCCAGTTGTCTGGTGGCTCACTGCTCTCAGGGAACATATCTGCAGATGATTTTGTTTGCTTGTTTGAGTGAAGAGAGGTGCATCACAGAATAATGGTCATTTAGTGCAAGGAAGAAGTAAGACAGAGAGGGAATGAGAAAAAAAAAGGGATCTATAGGTAGCCACCACCAACCACCTGCATGTCTACAGATAAGACAAAGTAGAGGAGGAGGAGGAGGAGGAAGAGGTGGAGGAAGAAGAAGATGTAGCACAGATGATATAAAGAGGTATTAGGACAAGATTAGATCTAGCGACACATTGAGGACGGTAAAAGAAAAAAAAGACAAAAGAGAAGGAGGAAAAGGACAAGGATGTTTTAGTTTAGTTTTAGTAAGTCTTAGTACGGCACTTGCAACATGATAAAGTCATGTAAGTGCCGAAGAGGTGTTACAAGAGAATATCACACAAAAAAAAGAGGGACGGATAAAGACGTTTGAGAGGAAAGAAGGAGCACCAACCAACCATCCACAAGGAGGACTGTTTCAGTTAAACTGGAGTACAGAAAAGCACATCAACGTTAAAATGGGAAGAGAAAAAAGAGAAATGAATGCACCTGTCTGTTTGTCCTGATACACAAATCTTGTCTGTGACTTCCCTTGCTGGCCAGTGCTGTCCCACGCCGCCCCAGCTCCACTACTCGGCCTCTTCGCAGTCTGGTCTTCCTCTTCATCTGTGGCCACACAAACATCATAATTTATCTTTTTGGGGTGGAAAAAGGGAGGTTCTCCGTTCTCCAAAATTTGTGTACATCAGATGCCTTAATGTTTGACATTTTCATAACTTTTTCTCATCAAGGGTTTTTAACATTCCACCATGAATAGCAGGGAGGGTATGTTACACATGCTCTCTTATTCATCTTTCAGAATGCATTATGTCTGTATTTATGGAAATAGAAGCACCAACATAGAGACTAATATTTAGTGCAGGGAAAGAGCAAGACAGATGAAAGCAAGAACCAAAACAAAAAAACCCCAAAAAGCAGGACCCACCAGTTACCCCATGATGTGACCCGAACAGCACAATATGAGAGACCACAAAGTGTGTTGTTTTGGGTTTTGGAAAAGGTTGGAAAATATGTAGTGCACAACTGTATAATACAATTGTAGTCTAGTTACAGAAGAGACAAACACATCAATACAAAAACAGCCTTTCAGTGCTGAGAAAACTTTAACTCTCAAGAAAGATAGACATAAAAAAAAAAAAATCATGAGTAAAAAAAGTGGAACACTCCAGCTGCCCACAGTGCAACATGAGTCTTTTTCTTCTCATTCATCTTTAAATGGACATCCCAGTCTGTAGTGCGGAGGCTGCTGTCCAATGCAGGTCCTCTAGGCTCCCGTGGAGTTTGCGCTTCATGCATTGGGCATGCTTGTAGAATTTGACTTCCTGCTTGGCAGCTGATTTCCCCATTGACACTGCCCCGCGTTTCCCATCCTGAACTTTGTGAAGAATGTTCAATATGAGTGGCAACAAAGTGTGCTGCCACTGGATCACACATGGTGACCAAAAGTTAAACAAAATTTATATATCATTATAAAATTACAAAAATCTGAGAGTGACCGTACCGAAGCCCCGGTCTGACTGTAGCTTCCTGCTCTTCCCGCCACCCGGCAGATGCATAGGTGTGGTAGCGGAGGACGAAGCTGACATACCAGAATGTGATGTGGCAGGTGGTGTGTCGTCCGAATCCTTTAAGTCCGTCAGCAGCTGTCGTATTTGGTGTTCTTGACGTCTGTCCATTGACACAGTTGGCCTCTGACAGGAGCAAAGTGCAAGAAAGATGAGAACAACTTTAATACTTACATTATATCTTATATTTTGCTCCTTTTATCACAATAGTTGTGCTCTTATTATACTGCACTACTAAGGCTGGAACTTAATATATTGACAAACTGAAGGGTATGGGCTGAACTCAAAGATGGAAACTCAGTAAAATCAACATGCAATAAGCCTTCATGAAAATTAACAAGTGAGGGACATAAAAGCTTGACTAAAAAAGTTGAGTTAAGAGAAGAACAACAATATGTCATGAACTGCATTCTTCAGTTACGAAATTTTGAGGAAGTTGCTCAAAGACAGGTACACTGATGACAGCTACTTACAGACTCTTTTAGTTATACAGTGGAGTCCACTTATAACGAGTCCTGAAACAACGAGAAGTCTGTTATAAAGACACTATTCCAAAACCCCAATTTTTCCCTTCTTTATCTTTGTAAAAAAAATACTGCTATAGCGCAATCGGACACACACAGGAGTCGGATATAGTGGAATATTGCTGCTGCTGTGCACAGAGCACAGGCCAGTTATACATATAAACCTCGCCAGTTGAGAAACTTGTTGGTGATCTAGCGAAACCTAGGACCTTACATCAACTCCTTGAGCGAAACAAACAATAGGAGAGCCCACGTTTGCCAACAATGAAGGCCGGAGCGAATGAGTGGGGAGGGTGTGGTAAGCGCAGACAAGAAGAACGCATCGTGTGATACACCAGCCTAGTCTAGATTATCTAGGCCAACCACTACCCATTCCCTCACTTCCCTGATGCGGGGATAGAGAGGTCACAATGCTGTGATGGACGGAGTGAATGTGTAGTAACGTGCGTAAGCAGACGAAACACACCACAGGGTGTGTTGGGGTGGGGGACAACACAGCGGGCGAGTTAGCCCAGAGCGCATTATTTCTGATCGCCAACGCCGTGCTGTCAACATTGCTAGTGCTTGAGAAAGAAACCCGATTTGATTTTTGATCAAGTAAGACCTAGAGGCTAGAGGTCATGTTGAACAATGTAATCATCAGGGGAGATAACAAAAAGAAATAAACAGTACACCAAACTCATAGATTAAACCTACTTTATTATTTCCATTGAATTTATTACTGGATTCCTTATAACGAGAATCCTGGTATAACTGACTTTTCGCTCTGGTCCCCTCCCTCTCGTTATAACAGGATTCCACTGTAGTAAGTGTTTTACGGCACTGGCAACACCATATTTTTATAAGGTCAAATAAGTACGGAAGAATAGAGGTGTTACAAGAAAGTAACAAACACAAAAAAAGGAGGGGAGAAAAAAATACATGTTTGGTAGGGAAGAAGGAGCAAACCACACAAGAGCACTCGCCAACTACTCAATTATGGACATTTGACATGGTCAACATGTCAGACATTTGACATGGTCAACATGTCATGCACAGGTGTGGATTAATATTTGAAATAGTGAATATGTCGGGTACAGGGTATCATGACAGACATCTGACGTTACTAGAATGCATGGTAAATAAGAGGGATTTAGTATTGGACAAGCTTCCTAGAAAGGCTATACATTTTGATGATCTTATGAATGTACGTAATATATCACTCAGGAGCTCAGGCAGAGGGGCACGGTAGCCTCAGGAGGTCACGGCTCAAAGGGTAAAGCGCTGATATAAACTTTTAAAAAGTTGTCACCTCCCATTTATATGCTGGTAAGAAACTCACATTCTGTTTCTGCTCCCGTTCCTTACGAGCCTGGCTTCTCTTGGCGTACCACATTCCAATATCTCTTCCACGGAGACCAGGTGGGGGCCTCTCTCGCCCTCCACTCTGACTGCCTTCTCCGCCTTCTTCAGACCCATCCATGGAGCTGTCCGGGGGCACTGGAGGGAAGGGGGGAAGGGGGGAAGGGGGGAGTTTTTTTTAAGAAACAGAAGCATATTGACATGATGATGGTCGTTTAGTGCTGGGAAAAACAGAGAAAGAAGAATAGCAGGACCTACAAGGATTAATCTCCAAATACACAGAACAGGGAATGGGGTGAAAAGATACAAGTTGACATTGACTACAAGGGCGTGTAATGTTGGAGGAACTCCCTCTCTCTCTCTCTCTCTCTCTCTCACACACACACACACACACACACACACACACACACACACACACACACACACACAACATGCGCACATTAAGAGGGGCAAAAACATATACACACACATTCACACATGTAAGCAAAAACTCACCCACAATCACAAACTAAGACATAATTACAAAAATATTTAAGACAAAGACATGAAAACAGCAACAGAACCTCATCTTTATATTTTTTAAGCTCAGGTAACAAGTGTAGTTTTACATCTTGCCCCAAGTCAATACAAATACATTGCTGTGGTGCCGGCCACTAATTCACGAAATCTCCAGCGTGGGTTTTTCCGAGGAGTTCTTTGAACTTTTCTTCTCAGTGGCTCTCTTCTGTAGGTTATGGAAGTTAAAACAGAAGTCCCTCTTAGATCTTAAAATAGCCGTGCTATGTCAAAAAGCACATTCAACTCATACTTTATCAAACCAACAATCAAAATCAAAGTTTGCTTAAAAATCAAGCAAATCCACAACCCCCCTACCTATCACCACTTGTCAAAAGGGTAACCGTGGTTGTAGCTTACATTCACATCTGTGGGTTTCTCTCCGGTCACGACGACCTCTACCCCGTCCCCTCCCTCCACCGCCATAGCTTTGAAATGTGTTTCCTTGACCTCCGCCGTAGCCTTGATATGCATTCCCTGTCGGAACTGGTCCCATCAGGCCTTGACCATCAGCTCCACCCTGTCCTCCTTGGGACCAGTTTCCCTGCCCATATGAAGGAGCCCCGAAGCCTTGACCTTGATTGTTAGACCAGCCTTGTTGCGACTGTTGCCAGTTGTTGCCATATGCACCTCTCCGTGCATTTCCACGGCCACCCCAGTGACCTCCACGGCCACCGTAACTCATGGCTCATACAGCGGCAATATGCAGCACGACAATTGCAATATGCTGCTCATCAGCTGTGACTGGAAGTCCTTGATGTCGCTCTGGGAAAAAGACCAGGAAGCAAATATGAAGTAAATCCCAATTCTTACAACTGTTACAACATACATCACTGTTTCTCTCTCCTTCTTTTGTTCCAGGATGCCGCACATATTCTGTCCCCTTTTCTCATTCATCTCTGAAGTTTCCTACTATCACTACACAAATGATTTGAACGCAGAAGACTATATATATATATATATATATATCCTCCTCCTCCCACCCGATACTGGGTTGAGCACCCCAGTTGGATTTGAGCTTTTGATATTAAGAGAGCAATTGAGTTTCTAACCTATGCACTACACAAGATGGCTCCCCAAAAATCTCTAACACACACACATATATCAAACACACATTTGTGCTAACTAACACTACAACCTAATCAACTCTTTCGGAACAAAGCAGCCTTGCCATTCATGATCATAATGCCAGCACAAAAATGAACTTCCCTTGAATTTACTGGAAACATTTGCTTAAATCAGAAACCCTTGAAAATAAATCAAAACCCACAATGGGAGCTTATTTATAGAGTTGATAAAGTGCTTGGTGAAACAATATTTATCTATATTCTAGACCATAGAGAGCTGAGGTATAGAATTATCATTGTATGGTAGGTAATGTGAAACTTGACCATTGAGAAAGCTGAATTATCGACTTGGACACTCAGACTTTTTGTTGTGTGTGAATGTATGCATAAATTATAAATGTTATCATGAGTGTACATATTGCAGTATTTTATTGAAAGAATGGAAGACATTCTATTTCTGAGACAAGAACTAAAACTATATAAATATATTATTACTAAAAATATTACAAAGAATCTTCCTTTTAAACTCTTTAAACCCCATCGGACGCTAGGATTGTCCGGTAGTAATATCCCTGTTCCCGATCAAGACGCCGTGAGCGTCTGATACTAGTGACAACTGTTTTGTTTTATTTAGTGCAAGCTTTTGCTTGTTTTTCAGAACTATTCACGAACCAAGTTTTTTAGTAAAGACTTTACTAAGCCTTTGTTTTCACCGTGGCCAGCTCTATTCGGACTCGAGTCCAATTAGATTTTTTATCTATTCAGACTCCAGTCTGAATGTGGGTTTTATCTATTCCAACTTGGGTCGGCAAAAAAAGTTTCATTTATTTGGACTCAGGTTTTAAGTCAGTTGTGTGAGTGTAAGGAGGTCATATAATAAATAACTGTTGTCAGGGGATTTTATATAAGCCAGAATTAGAACTAGAAATACCTACTAGGACTGTGTAATTGTGTCAAAAGTCAAAAGACTGCACTCTCCTTGCCCAATGGCAGCGTCTATGTACACAGTAACCGACAACTCATGGTCTTTCTGTTGGGCGCGATCTGTCGATTTGCGCAATCCATCGACCGCGCAGCTCATTTGGTTGATCGAGGAAACGCGCGACAATACATCGATTGTTGCGCATTCTGTTGATCAGCAGATCGCGCAGCGCTTTTTGTCATACTTACTGCGAATTCTGTTGATAAACTATGATGATGAGGTGAATAAAAAAAAAAAGAAAATTGGTTTACTGAGCTCGTCAGTCTTTGAGTTTGAGCATCTAAGAAGAGTTGTGTGATGAACTTTAAGTGGTGACGGTTGAGTGAGGCCGATAAATTGACACGACGTTAAATCGAGCACCTGTACTCAGTATTTGGACGGATGTGATTGGCTGCGTACTTCATGTGGTATTCCAAATACGGTGAAGATTTAATGGCTTGTGATAAATTGCTGTGTGTTGATTAAACATTCATTATACAAGTATTGTTTTCTTTATTGTTTCCTTGAACAAGAGCACCTCGAGCACAACCAACCTCTCCATATTGAATAAGTGTTCGGAGTGATACTCACGACCTATAAGTATAGGCCTAACCCTGATTGCACTCTCATTAGATCTACCCAATGGCAGTGTCTAAGTACACGATAACCGACAACTCAGGGTCTTTCCACCACCACAACAGCATCATCATTACTTCTACTACCACTACAGCATCAACATTACTTCCACCACCACTATACAGCATCATCATTACTTCCACCACCATTTGTCTTTCCACATGTTTAATTTGATTTTGTTGAGTGTTGAGTTTTTCTGTAATTTTTTTTAAAAATCACATCGCACAAAACCGACAGCCGTGGCCCCTTCTCAACACCTCTTTCCCCATAAGCCGAGAGTGCGATCGCTACACGCAGTCTCATTGGTCGAAACAATTAACTTTGCCCCCGGCAAGGTCAGCTCAACTTAGTTTTGTTCATAAACATGACGATCGACGCAGGGAGGGCCAGTTTAGATAGATCTAGTAACTGGATATTAAAGCTCACGTCTCAATTGTCATTATAATCAGAAAAAATGTTAATACATGCTGGAAATATTTAGAAACAAGGGTCGGAAGTCGGAACGGACATCATAAGGAATCAAATCAGAGTTGGAATATAATTTTTGTCTATTCAGACTCGAATTGTCACTTCGATTAGTTGGTTATTGTAACCCTGACTTCCAGTTACTTCCATTCAGTTTCGGTTTGACTTTGGAGAGTGAAACTAAATTACGCCCTGGACGACATCAAAACATAACAAAACTCAGGGGTATGATCTATAGAATGCGCAACCAAACGGATCGACAAAAAGCGCTGCGCGATCCGCTGATCAACAGAAAGTGCAACAATCGATGGATCGTCGCGCGTTTCCTCGATCAACCAAACGCGCAGCGCAGTTGATGGATTGCGCAAATCGACAGATCGCGCCCAACATTTCCACCACCACAACAGCATCATCATTACTTCTACCACCATCTGTCTTTCCACATGTTTAATTTCAGTTTGTTGTGTGTTACAGTTTTTCTGTAAGTAACTTTTTTCAAAAATCTCATCGCACAAAATCGACAGCTGCGGCCTCTTCCTAACACCTCTTCCCCCAGCTAAGCGCAATCTGATTGGTCGACATTTAATTTTCACTTAGCCCCCCGCAAGGTCAACTTAATTTGTTTGTTCTGTTCATACTTAATGATGCAGGGAGGGCCAGTTAAGATAGATCTACTAACTGGAAGTTAAAGATCACGTCTCGATTTTTATCGTTCCAATCTAAAACAGTTTCATAAAATGCTGGAAATATTCAGGAACAAGGGTCGGAAGTCGGAAAGGAGTCATGCTGGACTCAATTCAGAGTCCGAATATAATTCTCTTGTCTAAATCGGACTCGAGTCCTAACGGACGGTCACTTCGTTTCACCAGAAGTTGGAGGCAAGCTTTTGGGACTATTTTATGAGACATAGGCCTAGTGCTCCAGGTTTAGGTGACAGTTAGTAAAAACTCTGGGTAACAGTGGAAAAAACTCAGGGTTTAAAAAGTTAACAAGGATACACGATAAGAAGATGATCTAAAATATGAGCAGAAAGACAATGAGTGAAAATGAAACTGAAACTGCATTGGGGACTAGGTTACATTTTATAGACCCTAAACTTAAGGGCGGCTAGACTGTCAGTCTAGCCGTACTTAATATTGATGGCTGAATTGTAAATGAAATTTGGCACTTTTTCGTCTGTTACCCCAGGCCGGGCCTGGCCGCCATCTTGGCTCGGTAGTAATCGGGCGGTGTTACTACCTGTTCTGTTCAGTAATCGATAGGCCTAGGCCTATAGAGTCGAGTGTCGAGCATCGTCGTCTTGGCCTAGCCCTAGATTGTTTGGTCATAATGCTGTTTGTTGTTAATGACGTTGTTAACGTTGTTCGCACAATTGTACGGATAACCACTCCGTATGTAAATGTTCCACAAAACGGTTGGAAGCTAACTAAAGTAAAGTAGATTCTAGATCTAGTTTGTTTTATTTTTATGGACATTCATCTCTTTACACATCCGTGAGAGGAGAGAGTTGATTTCGCTCACCACATACAGTGACAACAGGGGAAAGCAGGGCTCTGATCTTTTAGATATCTACATCTAGATATAGATCTAGATATAGATATAGATCTAGATAGATTGTAGATTTAGATTTTAGATTAAATAACTCTTCTTTGCGGATCAGGCAAACTTGAACTTCACAACTGATGATTATTATAGTTTTTATATACTCAGAGAGAGTATCAGTTTATCTCAAGATTAGTACACACCCGTAGATCTATCACTCGACTCAATATAATGCAGGTAAGACTTCAATGTTGTAAAAGTCTCTAGATCTAGATCTAGAAACTAGCATTTACCGGCGTCTGCAGGAGAGAGGAAAATCATGCAAACAAAATCGTCAAAAAAGAAATTATTGGGAGTAGCATCCCTTGAAGATCTTGAATGCCAGGGAAAAGTTCGTCTTGCTTTTTGCAATTCACACAATAACCAAAGAAGCAGATCTTAAATACTACTGCTTGTGATAAATAATTGTTTCTAGTGTTGCTTGCTTTTCTAATGTATTTATGTAATCGGAAGGTGTTCTGTTTTTCGTCAGAATAGGAAATTTCTCGTTAATTAAATCCATTACGAGTATTGGTATTTTGTTCAATTGAACCACTGAACATGCCAATGTGGCATTTATTTTAGGCCGGCACTATTTCTCCGAACGTTCGGGAAAATAAAGCTGGGCACTATTTCTCCGAACACTCTGAAATCACATCCTTTCGCAAATTTCGGATATTATATAGATCTATAATTATAGTATAGGCCTACCAAAGATTGTTCGTATACAATATGGTTCAATCGGTCAAAAAAATGTCCGCAGTAAATATTTATAAAGAAACGCTACAGTTCCAAACAGTTAAACTTAATGTGTTGTGTTCACTCGTGTGCTGTCTACAGAGGGTTATTGATAACGACACATAGAACTAGCATAGATATCTGCGTTTGTTGCGGCTGCGACCAATCAATCGTGGCTCAATTTTTTGGCATTTTTTGGTCCCCAAATAGGAGGATAAAAGTCAAATATAAAAAAAAAAGAAAGAAACCGAACCTCTTTACTTTTGAAAGAAAGTTCACCTAGCTTCACTTCGTCTCTTTCTCACTTGTTGTCACCACGTTGATTTGTTGAATACGTTACAGTTACTTTTATTTTTCCCTCTTTGTGGTGTTTTATTTTGTTAGTGTGTATTTTTTTCTTTCTTGTTATTGTTCTGATGTGTTGTTTTTCTATCAATGTTTTTTTTAATGGGGAAAAAGGGGGGGGGGGGGGGGGGTTATATAGTGTAACGTCATTTAATTTGATGTTCCTACCTTCATTAGATTTTAAATATATATATACATGTGTAAATATATAGATTTAAATGTGTTATGTTAGAGCGTACGTTCCACCAAAACCGATCACATGTACTGACACTGGCAGCCCCTTAAATGTGTGTGATTCCATAATTTACTTGTAATATCCTGTACTTTGTTTTAAAATTACGCACATTAAGTGTTAAAACAGCCAATCTTCTTCGGACAGGTGGACTCACGCCCTTATTTGTTAATGTTTGTGGTTGTTTATGGGCTGTTCTAATTTTGATTTCATTCTGTTGTGAAACCTTTCTTTTTCACGTTTTTACACTCATCTAAAAATCTCTAGACTAGCCAGACTAGCTCTTGAAAATTGAAATAGATATATAGACCTAAAAATTTGCTCCTGTGTGTGTGTGTGTGTGTGTGTGTGTGTGTGTGTGTGTGTGTGTGTGTGTGTGTGTGTGTATGCATGTGCGTGTGTGAGTGTGTCTGTGTGTGGTAGTAAGTGTGTAAGTGGAGAGTGAGGAGCGTGTGTGTGTTTGTTTTTCGTCCTTTATTCAGTAACAGTTCAACGTATACAAAAATAGAAACACAGGATCCATTCACTCCAGGGCTCATGAGTCGTTCCTCTCTTTCAGTTTCACTCATTAATTCAATTCCCGTGTTCTCTCTCACGGCTCATCTCCGTCCGCATGACTTCCACACCCCACCCCTCCCTCCAGGCACACACAATGAAAATCTCACTCATTCCCTTGCCACCCTGCGAACCATGGACAATAATATTAGCAAAACACTGCCTTAGCCGCATTCCTTTCGTTCGTGAGCTGTGGACCAGGTCAGGGATGTCGGTGTCGTCCCCTTGTAGTTGCTGTCGCCTGTGGATACACTCATACATTCTTCCTTTCACCTGCTCTGTCACTCACACAGTCTCTCCATCCACAGCTCAGCTCGTCATACGTTCAAAAGTTGCCCACTGATCATGTTTAGTTAGTGTGTGTATAAGTTTGTATGTGTACATGTGCATAATGGTGGTGGGTGTGTGGTGGGTGTTACAGAAGGTTGTCTGTAGGCGGGCTTGCCATGCGGCGTTCCTTCCCAGTTCCCAGACCAGAGGCGGAATGACGAATGAAAGTTGGCGCCGAACTCTTGCAATAAATGGGCAAAAAATCACGAGATCGGAAGCCGGAAACCGTTCGGAGAAATAAAGATCGGCACTATTTCTCCGAACGTTCGGAGAAATAGTCACTTCGTTTATTTTAACGGTGCTCATTGAATTTGTTTCATATGGAAGATTGGTCCATGGAATACAGACAACAATCTGGTTTTCCTGGATTGTTTTTGTTTTTGTAGAGGTTTTACGGCGCTTGCAACTGCATAAGGTTATATGAGCGCCAGAAGATAAGAGGTGTTACAAGAGAGTGACAAACATAAAAAAGAAGGAGGGGAAATAAGGACGATAGATGTTCGATAGGAAAGAAGAAGCAAACCACACCAGAGCACCCGTCAACCACCCACTTTCCTGGATTTAAGTTCGAACTAAGACCAAACTTTCTACAGTCTTTCCACAAAAGAACAATGAGTATAGAAATAACCTTTAATTGATGTTTCTTTGTTTTGCCAAAAAAGGAGGTAAGAATAAGAAAGTAATGTACACGTGAAACACTCATTAGCGCACACACAACAGGCGCAGAGAGAGAGAGAGAGAGAGAGAGAGAGAGAGAGAGAGAGAGAGAGAGGGATAGGGAGGAGAGAGACAAAGTGAGAGAGAGAGCTAGAGAGAGAGGGATATCTAACAGGTAGCCTGGCCATATCGGCTGTCTTCCGACCCATCTGTTCTGTCTCTAGGAGAGCAGGCAGGCTGTCGGCATGGCGGCCAGCCACCCAGCCGCTCGGCCGGCCATCCTCACTGGCGGCCGGCCAGAGAAGAAGGGGGAGAGAGGGCCGGGGAGAGAGCCAGATTCAGCCCCAGCAAGACAGACTTTCAGCAAACCGGCAAGACAGAACCGGGTTCCAAACCCCTGAGTAGTGTTTCCCCCCAAAAAGAGGATAAAGCAAAGTGGCCCTCCCCCCCTTTTTGGGGGTGCCCTTAAAAAACCCTTTTATTCTCTTTGTCCCCCTTTTTTTTTTTTTGGTCCCAATGGGATTCCTCAATTAGTTTATCACCCCCCCCCCCCCCCCCCCCCCCGGGAAAATAAAACTGCAACAAAACCCTTTCCGTAAAAAAAACCCAAAACGAAACAAACTAAGGAAAATAAAACCAATGTAAAATTAACGTATGAAATGATCAAATTTGTGTCGCATAGGCTCAAGAATCCAATGTATTTACAGAAAAATAAAGCAGACCAACACGTCCGTAGACTACTGTAACTATAATCACGTTGCTGTTACAAGATGTGGTAAACCCGCTATGTGATCTGCTCACTCACAACGTAACGTCTGAGAGCGGGGAAAAGAGGGAGGGGTGGAACTATGACTTTTTTGGTTTTTATTTCAAGAGAAGCACATGATCGACGTAAGGAGAGGCCACATAAGTCTGCTTCTAAGAAATATCAAAACGGACAAACAATAATAAAAATAACAGCCTTGCCTATTAATTCAAAACAATTATACGATACAAATTTATACATGCATTAAGTATTAGCATAAAAAGCGAGGTCATGATAATAATATGATATCAGGCCTAATAATAATAATATGCTGATGATGATGATGATGATGATGATGATGATGATGATGATGATGATGATGATGATGATGATGATGATGATGATGATGATGATAGGCATAATCCTACAAAAGAAAAACTAAATCAAAGAGAATCAATGTGGATTTGGAACTTGGGTTCTCACCAAATCCTCAGCGGTCTTAACATCGACGATCGAGCCACATTTCAGGGACCTTAAATTTACCAAGTAGGGACTATTCACACTATTTTTTAAAGACTAAGTTACTATACTACTATTTTTACCATAGTAACTGTGATATTTAGGATTATTTGTCCTTCTAATGTATGTCCAACGTAGACAGAATGATGCGGTGAAGTTTGGTCTTTACAGTGGGGTGGAAGAAATGCGGATGAGTCAACTTGTACTTTTCTACCTTGCCTTCGAGCTCGTTTTGAGAAGACATAAGTTTCCTACCTGTGTGGAATTCAAAGTTTTCCAAATTCCTTTCCTTATGTAGATAATATATGCCACTGCTACTACAACTTCTGCTGCTACTACTACTACTACTACTACTACTACTACTACTACTACTACTACTACTACT